AGTAACTGTTTTTCAGGGATTAAAGGTGGGTGCAGTAAGATTGTATTTAGGTGCCTAAATCCATTTATGTGCCCTTCAGGTAGACTAGAAACTGGTCTGTAGTGAACTTGTGTGATGCCAAGATGGGAGGGGTAAAAGACAGAGCACAGGATCAGGATTCAAAATGATCTTGATACATTGGAAGAATGCTCTGAAATAAATTGGATGAAATTCAGTAAGGACAAAGGCAAAGTACCACACTGAGGAAAGAACAATCAAATGCTCAAATACAAAATAGGGAACAACTGGCTAGGCTGAAGTACTGCAGATGAGAGCCTGCGTGTTATAGCAGGTAGTAAGCTGGATTGAGTCAATGGTGTAATAGTGATACAAAAAAGTGAACAGCGTACTGGACTTTATTAACAAGAATATTGTATGCAAGTTCCGAGAAATGGGGAGGTATCACCAAGAGGACTATGTCCAGTTCTGCTCAGCACACTTCAAGAAAAACATGGACAAGCTGCAGAGAATCCAGAGGAAAACAATGGAAATGACTAGATATCTGGGAAGCAAGATGCATGAAGAAAGGTTGGAAGAAACTGGGACAATTTAGTAGGAAGCACAGAGGGCTAAGGGGCCATTTGATAACAGTCTTCAACTACTAAATGTGTTGTTTAAATGAAGATGCCAATATTGCTAAGGATCTCCATTATTTGTGCCAGAAGTGCGCTATGGCTTCTTCAATCTTGGAGTTCCTCCTGCGCCCATCCTCCCACCAGCTCTGATTGGCGGAGGGGCCCAGTCACTCACTGCTTGCGCCTGATGGCTGGGAGGTGAAAACCACTGTGAAAACACTGCTGGGAGGTGAAAACACTTTTGGCATGATTTCCAGAGATCCTCACCAAGGTTTCTATGCCTTGTTTTTATCATTGCTTCTGTTTGTGCATGTGAAGCAAAGCCTGTGATAAGACAATTCTTGTTCCTGGTGCTTTCTTGTATGGCAATGAAAGACCTTGATCATAGAAAAAGTATAACAATAACATATGATCTTTTGAGTCTTCCATCTAGTAACTAAATATTTTCCATGCTGCTAAGCTCAGTGCATGGCAAGGCCTTTTCATCCTTTCCCATGAACCGTTAGCCTCTTCCACCAAGCTATTTCAGATGGTTAAGCAGAAAGCCCTGTCTTGCAGCACTGCCTCTGGGAAGGACATTGCTACCATCACTAGGGAGAAACAGGTCTGTAGAAAGGCCTCTATTGTTTGATATAATCTGAGTTTGATTTCCCCTTGTTTTATGGAATTTACAAGGACCTAAAGCATGCATAGGCAGAGTGTGACCTCCACATCGCTCTACCAATGCACCTCAACTTGTTTTGCACCGAATGCTCTTCCCCATTAGTAAAATTGCCTTGTCCCCGGGTTTCTCAGCAACCACCTTCCAGCTGCCTTGGATTGTCCAAGGTAATTCAGAGTGAAAATAATACACGTTAATGCTTAGCAATTTCAAAACCTTTAGTCAAAAGATCTCAAAGCACTTCACACACATTCAATTTAAACCTGTCCATACTCTCAGGCCATGGTAGGATCAGTATCTTAATCCGCATTTTATAGATGAGGAAACTGGACATATGTTGGCGGAGGATAACAGAGAAAAACTATAAGTATAATATTCAGATCCAGGCTGGTTTGTTTTTTTTTTGTTTTAATCCCAAG